CAACTGAAAAATGCTCATCGTTTTGCCCCCAACAGTTGAGGAAAGTCCTTTTCTTCCTAGTTGTTACAGTTTTCCCATCTATCATTGCAGTGGTTTGATTAAAAGTTCAAAATTCAATGTTTAAATTTTAACCCAGCCTTTTGTGTTGACTTCATGGCTCATTTTGTAGCATTAAAGCCTATAATAGGATGCCTAGACCTGTTTTTATTTTATTTTTTTTCGCCCTGTCGCTTCATATTTTTTCTGAAAAAATCCGAGAACCAACAAATTAAATTGGTGTGGCCTTAATGAATGTAAGGCAATATGTATCCAAGTACCAAACTATAGCAGGTTGTAGAGTTTATCATTTGACATACATGTTTTACTATTTTACAGTTGGTTTTAGCTCAAGTTGCTATGCTTATCTGACTATCTAAGACCTTTGATTTGGTATGATAGACATATCCAAAGAAATGATATCAAGTATTTCAGGTATCAAATATTTCGGATGTTTTTTAGAAACTGTGTTATACGACTGTGTAATTGTGTTTATAATTGGACTGTTATGAAGTAGGAGAAATGTCTGTAGGAGGAGAAAGATGGCATGTGAAGTGCCTTTCTTTGGTTTGTGGGGGTCATGCAAGATGTTGACAAGAACAGTTATCAACAGATTGCTGCAATTTTGCATATGTTGATGTTGATGTCCACACTTTGTTAAACCAGAACTCAACTAGTACATGCGTATGCTAACAAGCAGGAGTTTGTTATGTTGTTCAGAATATATTTGTGAAAAATATTATTAGTACTTACAACATGTAGCCTTGGATACATGCATACTTCTCACTTTTTTGTGAAATCAATGTAACCCTGGCCCTTGTCATATTGTTGTGGACTACAATATTGTTGTTTTTTATTTATGGTAATTGAAACATCAATTTTGCAAATCTACTCTGAAGAGTTACATGAAATGGATACATTCCAGTCAATGAAGATTTTGCCACAGGTATTTGTTGGTCAACGGACTGACCACAAATTTCAGTGCAATATCTACATTTATACATTGGTATGTTTATTGCTCCTCTTGCCATGGTGCAGATGAATAGAACAGGAGCTGTGCATATACTGTGCAAATGTCATAGCATTGGATGGCATGTCTTCACATCCAATCTGCATCTACATATTAATGTTTATGTAACATTGTCACTTCCAGGGTGGAAGTATTGTTTTGAGTGGTGCTTTACTGAGAGTTTGTATGTTTGGGTTTCTAAGTGAGTTGGGGGGAGATCGAGTTTCAAGTGATTGACAGGATTTTGACGGGCATCCCCTGCATTCAAATATGTGGTCCCCAGAAATGTATGAAACATACTGGGTAAACCATGGTGTAATATCACAGTCATATACCGGTATGTATGAGAAATAATGCATTCTATGATGTAGTTAATTAATGCAACCAATATCTACTCAGAAGTTTGAAATCTGTGATTTCTTGTTTTACATGTTGTCGTTCTCCTGATCTTGTCATTATTCTACATCATAGACAATTCCAACTCTAGATTGCAACTCTGGATAAATTATGGAGATTACTTCTGGATGTTTGGAGTAACATCTATCGCTCACAGTTGTGCTCTACATTTTGTGAATGATGAAAAGTAGAGAGGTAGTAAAATGGTACAGACTGTGTACCAATGGAAATAATGTGACCATCCACATTTTACTGGGGATAGAATGGCAATTTCTTGACGTGGAATTGAAGGCTCCATCGAAGTGCTGCTTGTTACGTATGACTGAAAAGCAATAACGGTATATTAGTCAAGTCAGGGGAAAAAACCTGAAGATTTGCATACTTGTATTTTGGATAGCTTTATTCTTAATAGTGAACACCTAATGAATACTTATCATACAGGTGTACATAAAAGGCTATGTTGTTGTAAATTGGCGCTTTATTTTGGAAAGGTGGAAGAAAATCATAAGGCCCATATTTTCTTCAAGAGAACTGGCCAAAAACTGACATGGGAAGAAATTTCACACATTGTCCCCTCTGATGCTTCATCCTCATGGTCCATCCAATACACGTATTGTTCAACCATTTTTTTGTCAACAGCGTTGTACAATTTGTATGTTCCTAGTACCTAAAGCCATCTACATTGTGTTGCTCTTTGGTCATTGTCTTCTTTGTAAAGTGGAACAATATTTGAATGTATATTTTATTGTTCAATGTGCCTTTTTCTTGCTTACATGTTTATTTGGAATAGAATAAAAGAGATATTGCTCATTGTTATTGACTGTAGTTGTGAATTATTAATGAATGTTCACAAATAGCGTCACAGATAACATAGCTTGAATTTTTGGGAGTGTCAAACAATAGATTCTGGCTGTCCATCAAAATTAAGAGATCAACCAATAAGAAAAAAGGATGCACCTCAGTCAGATCTTTGTTTTTCACCATCTCATCAAATTAGAATAAATTTTGAATATTTAATCATAGAAATTATATATAATTATTATGTTATTTAATATATTATGTTATTAAT